TTAAATTAAAAGTAATTTATTTGCTTGCGGATCTGCTTCTCACAAAATTAATCAAACATATTCCTGTTATTCTCCGTGACTTCTTGACTTTGAGATAAAAATTCATTGTTTTCAAGCCATTTATTTAGGTTGGTGAACAGTAAGAAAAACAATAATACCTCTATTATTTTTATAAATTCGTGTTCTTTTTTTGGTGTGCTACTTTTTTCCGTAAATTTTAATTTTACATTTTTAATTTGATTTTACGATTAAAAGCATTCGTTTTAAGTACTCTAATAATTATCATTAAGTAATCAGACAACGTTTAGATTTATAACATAAATTCTTTCTTTTCTATTAGACAGTATAGTTGCAAAACGGGAAAATTTTGGTTCTTTTGCTTGCTAAATGGGAAATGAACAAGGTTTGAAGAAACGTTTTTGCTTGCAATTTGGGAAATTATATAAAACAGTCAAAAATAAAATTCCTTACAAAATGGACCTGAGCCCTTTAAAAGAGCAGACATTTTTCTGTTTAAGAAATAAAATCTGAAAGTAACAAATTTTACATTTTCGTCAAATGTTCATCTTTTTTATATTCAAGAAGGAGAGTGCGCACTGTATACTTATTTCATATTGCGCCAACTTCGCGAACCAACATTACACTAATTAGAGTAGACCCATTTCAATCGTTTATACTAGTTTAGAGTACACGAGTTGTACAGGATGCCGATCTATTTTTTCGTAAAACTAGTATACAATGGAATGTCCTATAATAGAGGAATAATTGGAGAATACAGGAACAGTGATCTACCGATCGGAATGTATATTGAGACGTTCCTTAACCTGTAGAAGAAAAATATCGTGAAAGATCGACTCTGTATAGTAAACTGAGTACTTAAACCTACTCTCTACGAATTAATTATTGGGAATTTTAGATAGATATGTGTAATATTTTGTTTAGAAATGATTGATACGTATTTTCATTCGATATGGATTAAACGACCATTTATCTTAATCTTAATAATAGTCATATGTGGAGTGCTTTTTATGACTACCACTCCTTTTAGATACACGCTCAGTAGATATTGGCAGAATTCAAATCCAACTTTACTAAACGGTGTCTTTCACCATGAAACATCGTTGTCGTCGTCGTCATGTAACATAACCCGACATTACTCTAATTTTACTCTTACTACGTGTGTCATTTTACTTAAACAAAGCGAAGGTCGTTTAGGCAATCGAATGTTTATGTTTGCAAGTGCTTATGGTCTTGCTCGTCTACATCAATGTCGTTTGTATGTCTCATCGAAAATATTAACTGAATTACGCCGATATTTCATAATGGAACCATTAAACAATTTAATCACTGATATAGCGGTATCAAAATTAAGCGGAATTCAAAGAATGTATAGTGTCTGCACATTTTTTTCTGAATTAATGTTGCCAAATGCAATTAAATATTTGGAAATAGAAGGTTACTGGCAAGCATACGGCCATTTTGCGAAACATAATGAGGAGCTAAGACAACTATTTAATGGAAAACAAGAAACAATTCAAAGGCTTTCCACATTTTTCTCACAGTCATTACAAATCATACGTCGTCATTATGGTTGTACACCAAAAGAGAATATTAGTTTTAAGTTCTCAACACATGAACAAATAAAAAAAGCTCTTATGTTGACAAATTTCACATGGATCGGTATTCATATTCGTCGCACTGATTTTATTTTGAATAAACATGTTTCATCAGATTCTTATGTATTAGAAGGTATCAAATATTTCTCTAGGAAATATGAAAAGTCTATATTTATTGTAGCAAGTGATGATAAATTGTATTGTTCAAATCTCCTAAAAAACCAAGTGAATGTTATCGTCACACCCGACTTATTTTCTGCAATCGATGATTTGATATCATTAGGAATTTGTCAACATTCGATTGTAACTGGTGGAAGCTTCGGATGGTGGGCAGCATTTCTCGCTAACGGGGATGCTCTTCATGATGTGCAATATGACAGTTTAAGAAAAGGATGTAACTGTACAAAAGAATGGTATTATCCTCCTTGGTTTCTACTTCCAAGCAAAGTTTGAAGTACGACTTTATATTGTATCATTTACTCTTCTCCAAATAAGCTCAGTTTCCCTTTACTGAATGCAAATGATATCCACCGGCCTATGCACGCCTGAATCAGAAAACGTTAAGAGGTTGATTAGTTCCCATTCAGAAATCCAGGTGTGTTTGGTCGAAAAACCTTCCTTGAAATTGATCAGGATGAAACAGGATGTCGTTTCATTACAAGGAATTTTCCAGTACAAATGATCAATTCTGTCGACTGTGCGTGAATTATCATCCGGATTTTACATTAGCCTAGGCCACTATCACATTGGTCTGATTAATTCTGAATTGTACTTTAGACTAGTCCAATCTTAGATTCGTCTGGTGTTTCCAGTCCAATGTCATATTGGAGTGATACTTTTTATTACATTGTACTTTGAACTAGTTCAAACTGAAATTTCACTTGGGCCTTAAGTTTACTAATGACAGAAAAGAAAACGAAAAAAAGCAGCAGTCTTTGGAGTTTAACGGCGAACAAAGGTTAACTAAAGTGCTGTAAAACGTGAGACCACAAGGCGAAGTCCAACGACTAAGCAAATGCGGGTAGCCCGACGAGATCTTTGCGCCGTCTAACGTAATCGAGCACGCTGATTCCGAATATGTAAAAATTCTAAAGACCTTTTCTGTAGAAAAGAGCATTAAGTTTTCATATCGGCTTTCGACTAGGAATATTTGGTTCTCGGTTCGCATTAAGAACCGGAACCACCGGTCTCTTATTTTCGGTTCTTCATCGAGAATCGGAGCCGCGCTACATACAATAGGGCATATATACTAGCTGAACAACGTACTGTACTACATTCACTGGAAAATGGTAAATTAAAACCCAGTTACACGCATTTTAATTCTACACAATACAGAGGAAAAATGACCGAGAATGAAAATAACTTCTCTCTGTTACTTCTCTTCTCTACCGTCGACAAAGGCTAGCCCAGATAATTTGACGGGCGGATAAGTGGTTTTTTTTTTTTTGGGGCGGTTGGGTTAAAAATTAATCATTTTGTGGGCGGGGGATTATAATGTCGGGCGGTGGGGGGCC